GTGGACCCCGGCGAGGGGCAGCAAAAGAAGTGGTGGTGGTGGGCGTCGTGGCCATGGCGGCGGCTATCGCCAGCTCGCTCATCCGTCAGAAGAGACAAGCCCGCGAGCGCGAGAAATCTAACGCCTGCAAGTGTGTCAGCAGCCCCAGCAAAGGCAAGACCAGCTGCGACAAAAACAAGTTAAATGTCTTTTCCCGGGTCAAACTCTTCGGCTCCAAGAAGAGGCGCAGGAGGAGACCAGGTCGGAAGGGGCTTTAGCTTTTTTCCCATACTCTACGAATGCCAAGGGGGTGGGGGGCGGGTATGGAAGCGTAGGTGAGTTCGTCGGTGGCCCATCTTGTGCGGATGAAGCCACCTAGCCGGTGTGCGTGCGTGGGAAGGAGATTGCTTTCTTGCCTCCTTCGTGACAGTAACAGGCTTCTTGCTGCAGTGCAACTGCCCTGGGACAGGCGCAGGGCCCGGAGCATAGGCTGCCCAGGGAGATGCTCTCAGCTTCAGACATGTCACCTGTGTGCATGCCCGGTGGGCTCTGGGCAGGCGTGACCCAGACATGGCTGTCGTGTGTGGCGTGGAAATTGCAGGCGCGGAGCTGGGCAAACACCATCGCCCCCCTTCCCGCCCCTTCGCGAGAACCCGGGAATCCCTCATTTGCTTTTATCCCCACCTGTCAGACCCTTCCTCTACTGCCTGTATACCAAGGGATGTGGGCTTCCGCTGTCTAGGCATTCCGTCTCTTTGATTACTTTTAAACCTTTCGGGACAGACTCGACTTGTGGTGCAGCTTTGAAATGTTTGTTGGAAGGGGGAGGGATTTCTATCTAGTACCTTGCGGCAAAGAGCTTAGTGATCTGGTTAGATAGTAAAACTGTGGTTACTTGCTAGGAAAATAAAAAGCAGGATTGGAGAGGGAATTTAAACTCAGCCAGGTTGTGGGTCCTTTTGAACCATTTCAGTGATAAGAGTAGCGCGTTATTCCAGTGACAACAGAAATTCAGACAGCTGTAAGTGTCAGGTTGCGTCAAGGTAAAACCTTCAGGGAACATGCAGCTTATCTGCCACCCTTAACCAAATGAATCTTTTTGCATTATTTTCGTATCTTTTTACTTGATAAATATTACAGAAAATCAGACTTACTCATCGATCTGCCATTTCTCTTATTTTTGTGTTCTGCACACCCTGGAATGGAAACTCGGGCATACATTTTCTGTTTGCTCAAAGTTTTTAATGCATTAACTATAAATTAGGCTTGTTTTTAAAAGGCTTAAGCGGTTGCAAAGCATGATTATGTGGCTCGAATAATCACACAAATATTATTTTGGCACAGGTGTCTGTATTCAATAAAAGCAAATTTTGAATAGCATGACTTTTATTGGTAAATTAGGCAGATGATTAATTAATCTATGGTGATTCGTAATTGACAACCATTTTAATTAAGAACCCATATTTTGGATAATTCTACTTCTTATATTAAATTTGAAAATTAAGATGGATTAATTTTCATTCTTTCTAGCCAACAAAAATCCTGCTCTTTTCACACCTATTTTCCATTAAATGTGATCAAATATGGTGATGGTTGGTACATCTCACCTTCTTTGTATGGAAGGTTCAATTTTTTAAATACAGAGCCTTTGATAGGGTTCCAGATTATTCATGCATTTTCAGCCTTCTTAGAGTAGAGCTTATTTTTTCAGATTGCAATAAATTCTGAAGGCAATCTTTGCTATTAGTCCCAGACTGGCAAACATCTCAAAATTATATTTGTATTTCTCTGTTTCCTTCCACATAAAAAGTGGCACATTGTTAAAAGGCAACCTATTCCATCCAAGTGCTCAATGAGATAGAGTACCATTCAATAAGCCAAGGGATAGGCTGTAAGAAACTGTTGACGTTATCAGAAGCCTTAAGGTTTTACTCATGTTGCCAGGTAGAAATCAAATGTTTTATCACTTTGGAGATTTATCCTGAAACTTGGATTTTTTTCCCCCCAGCGGACTCTTGAAAAATGTAGTTCAACCTTTTCCACTAAAATTTGTAAATGAAATTAGAAGTTTGAATTCCAAGTCTTTTCAGTCACATACGCACTATGTATCAATTGATCCAAACTGTTGTTCTCTTTACAGAGCCTCAGCTAAAGGGTATAGTTACCAAACTGTACAGCCGGCAAGGCTACCACTTGCAGCTGCAGGCAGATGGAACCATCGATGGCACCAAAGACGAGGACAGCACTTATAGTAAGTCACTACAAAATAAATAGCATACGCCAGCGTGTTGTTGACATTCTGTTCCTTTTATTTAGGTTTTAAATAATCAACTCTGGCTAAATCCTGAAGTCAATGCAAAATATAGTCACACTACATAATCCTGTTTACAGAGTTTACCCTAAAGGAAGTTGAACATGAAAATATCTAAAATAGTGAACCAGAGCAAATAACGTTGACACCATCTGAAGAATGATCCAAAATGTCATCTCCATGGTAATCAAGATAGATTTATGGCTGTCCTTTGGATTTTATTACTTTTTTCCCACAGAAAATTTACTCACCCACACACTCATCCCGAAATAGCATATTATCTCTACTCTTAAGAACTGGTCTCATCCCAAGAGGCAGGAGTGGTTTCATACCAGAGAATTCATCATTACAAACTCTTACTTCCTGCTTTGCCTCCACATACACTGATGACTCTGAGACTAGTTGATATTTTAGATTGAGGTACCTCTACAGGTGGGTAAAGGGATTTCTTTTCATACTTTATTTTTAACCATGGTTGAAGTAAAGGCCAAATAGGAAACCATAATGGTGAACCTAAAAAGCATAAAATATAGTACCAGTTTTAGTTCTAGTTCATCAAGGAAGGTGATTCTTAGATGTTACCTACCTTTTACTATATATGTTTTTCTAGTTGGATTCATAAAAACATAAATTCACAAATGGTAAAGCCTTTTCTTTAATTCTAATATTTAATAATTAATGTTTTCTTCCAATTTACAGGTTTCTCCAGAATTATTAAATGGTCCATGAGGTTAAAACACTCACTTTTCATAATTTATTGTTTTCCCCAATTTCTACTGATTTTCCCTCAGGCATTTATAATTTCTCAGAAATATTCCCATTGTCAGCTGAGGAAACAGCCAAAGAGAGTAGGTCTGAATGCTAAGGAGAGTTCCGCAAGTTTTTGTTTTATTTCCAGAGGGTCCTGAGGTTCAGTGTTAAAGAGTTTCACACCTGGGAACCAGCAGTTAGCGTAATGGCTATGTCGCTGGACTCCCACGTAGTCGACCGCAGTTCACGTCCTGGAACCAGTGGCTTAAAACTCACGCTGGGCGTGTGTGCATGCGTGCCTAAAAACCCGAGAGGAGAATGGAGGAGAAGGGATTGTGGCGTGACCATCCCCCCTGGGGGGTGATTTCTCGCTTTCTGTCTCTCTGTCTGTCTGGCGAGCGCATGCGCCCTATAGTGAAAACCTCTCCAA